GCTACGTTTGAGTACTGGTGTGTGGATGAGTAGCGTGTGTTGCTGTGTGTATATATGAGTGCTGATGTGTGCATGAGTGGTGTGTGTGTGGTGTGGGTGGTGTGTATGTTGCTATGTTTGAGTACTGGTGTGTGCATGTGTGGCGTGTGTTGCTGTGTGTGTGAGTGTGGTGTGTGCATGAGTGGTGTGTGTATGGTGTGTCTATGGTATGTGTTACTGTGTGTGTGTGTGAGTGCTGATGTGTGCATGAGTGGTGTGTGTAGTGTGTGTGTGGCGTGTGTTGCTGTGTGTTGCTGTGTGTGTGTGTGAGTGCTGATGTGTGCATGAGTGGTGTGTGTAGTGTGTGTGTGGCGTGTGTTGCTGTGTGTTGCTGTGTGTGTGCTGGTGTGTGCATGAGTGGTGTGTGTGTGGTGTGTGTGTGGCATGTGTCGCTGTGTGTGTGTGAGTAGTGGTGTGCGCATGAGTGGCGTGTGTTGCTGTGTATGAGTGCTGGTGTGTATGTGGCGTGTGTTGCTGTGTGTGTGAGTGCTGGTGTGTATGTGGCGTGTGTTGCTGTGTGTGTGAGTGCTGGTGTGTATGTGGCGTGTGTTGCTGTGTGTGTGAGTGCTGGTGTGTGCATGAGTGGTGTGTGTGTGGTGTGTGTGCATGTGTGTTGCTGCACCCTTTACAGGGAGCACTTCTACATGTGTTATTTCACTCAATGCTGAGAATGATCCTTCTGAGGCTGCAAGGCCGGAAGTGATTTCCCGGCTTCAGATCCTTGGATGGGCCTGACTCAGGCTCCCTTCCTCACGGCAGCGGTCCCAGCCTCTGCGCCTGCCACCTCCAGTCCCCGAGCCCACAGCGCCACCCAGGTTGTGTTTTCTCGTGTCAGAGCTCATTCTTCACTTCTGGCTCTGGAAGGCTGTCAGCTTCACCCCAGGCAGCAAGCTCTCCCACACCGGCGTTGGGCCGCACCTCATTTCTTTCACTGTGTCCTCTCTGAGGCCTGCAACCACTGACCCTCAACCCGAATTTTTCCATCTTCACCAGCATGAGATAGCTCCCCTTTTTTTCCTTCGTCTCCAAATTGTTAAAAAAGTCTAACTGGTTTGCCTTTCTTAATCCGCTTTTCCCTCTTAACCCATGGAAACATAGTTGTTGCCCCCATCCTGACATGGTGTTCTAAGGACTGCTGGATGGGGCATTGCCATCCCTCCTTGAAATGCATCTGCCCCATCCAGAGGTCTCCCTCCCTCCTGCTGCTCCCCAGACTGTCGCCACCTCTCGGCATCCTCTTCATGGCCTCTCCAGTGTTCCGACCTGCTCAGTCCTCTCAGGGTCAGACACCAGCATCAGCTTCTTCTGTCTTTAACAATTTCCTTCTGAGTTCCAGGCCTGCTATCCAGGTGGGCAGGGGTGCCCACAGAGCCCACTTGGGGGCTCAAGCATCACCCTTATTTCCAAGGATAGCAGGGCACCCTGACCTCTGTTGCCCTCGGTCCCTTCCCCTCCTGTGGACTTCCTGCTGTCCCTTAGACTGGCCACACCCACTCCTGCTCATGCTCCTGCGCCAGGATCCTTCCCTGTCCAGCCCAGCATGGTCTCCCTCTGGCCTCTGCCCACATTCCCTCCCCAGGGAGGCCTGGCCCTCTTGGCTACCACCACCCTCCCATTTGTCAGCTAAACCATTACTATAAGACATGTCACATCTTTGTTGATCTCCTGTACTCCCCACTGGGTTGGGAGTCCCCAGAGGGCAGGGACCTGGTCTTGTGCACAATGATCCCAGCACCCGACCCCACACATGAGAAAGGCCCAATAAACATCTGGTGATGGAAGCAGTGGGGCAGTGAGTCCCCGTGGCCCCCAACCCCATTGGTCCCAACTAGCCAGTGTGTCCTGTTTCTTGTCTTTGCTCTGCCCAGTGCCATGCCTTAAGGTGCTCTCCTGGGCTATGGCAGCAGTCTCCTGGTCACCCTGCCACAGATGGCCTCCTTCCAGCTCCTGCTTCGTTCACCTTCCAAAGGTGCATCTGTGTGCAAGGTGGCATCTTCTGAGTGCTGTCAGCTGTCACGCCCTACACTCAAGGCAGGAGTGTGCACACAGCACGTGCTGGTACACTCTACAGTCCTGTGAGATACGTCCTGTTGTCCCCAGGTTAGGGCTGAGCAAACTGCTTGCTGACATTGAGTGACTCACCGGGACCACGCCAGCAAAGGGCAGAGCCAGGTGTTAAGCTACAGCTGCCACCACTCAGCCCTCTTGGGTCCTGAGCACACCAGTATCTGACACCCATGTGGCCTGTACTCAGCTTCTCCCTTTCTTCCCTGCGGGAACCTTCCAGTCCCCACCCAGGACCCTGTCCCTTCTGCATCCTGTGGCCTCATCCTCTCTGTAGCAGAGACTGGGACTGTGCATTGTGAGCCTCTGCTGAGCTTGACTCCCTTGACGTCTCTGAATTATCCGAGTCTTGCATGGTGCCTGGCACGTGTGGACAGAATGAGTGGCCCTCCCCTCGTGATAAGAGACACCCCTCCCCAGTGCAGCATGGCTGTGTGTTGGTGGAGGGCACCCACAGCCCTGCCCTGCCTCCCGCAGAAGCGCTCTTGCGTCAGAGCCCCGAGCTTGCTGTGGTCTGGGGTCTTCCAGGTGACACTTGGCCTCCTTGGAGGCAAGTTACCCAGCACTGACGCACTTCTCAGACAGTCCTTGTCTGGTCCCCACATGCCCTCACAGACAAAACCTGCTGACAGGCGGCAGGGACGGCACAGGCACATTCATATCGGAGCTGTCAAGTTCCAGGTCTCTACCTTTGAGGCTTTGGGGTTTAATTACCTCTGCAGGGCGGAGGAGGTGGCTGGGCTGCGGTATCGACCCGGCGCTTGCTGCCCTGACATTATGAGACTAGAGGCAGGGATGATAAACTCGATGCTGTCCTGCACCCCCGCAAAACGGCGCTGCTTTTCTCTTAATATTGTCTTCCTGGTGAGCGAGGGAGGCCGCGCAAGCAGCCAGCTGTCTGAAGCTTCTGCGCCTGGGGGTGCACGGTAGGGGACAGGGTGGGGCAGGGATGCCCGCAGATTCAGCTGAGAGACAGTGAGGGTCCCAGGGCAGACGTGAGACACACATGAGAAGGCAAAGAATGGCCCAAGCCAGGGCTGAAGGACACATTTCTGGGACCCACGTGATGTGTGCTTTGGTGCACATGCCCCTCTCTGCCCTGCCTTCAAGTGTGGGCTCTGAAGCCCTGCCAGGCAAGCAGTGCCCATGTTTTCAGCTCCTGGGTGGACACGTCAGTTCCATGAGGCGAGACCTCTCTCTGTCCCTCCCCGTCGTGCCCAGAACCGTGCTGTGTCAAGTGACAGCACTAGGGCAGCCAGACCCCCGTCTGTCTTGCAGGGTTCATGAGGGACTTGCGTGGGACTCCTGAGGAAAGCAGTGGCCCAGAGGGAGGGCGTCCGGGAGGGCCAGCGGGTTCAAGCGCTCAGGATGTAGAGTGCTGCTGCTTGGTGGGGAGGATCTGGAAAAGCTACTGGTGGAGATGGCCTCTGAGAAGTGCCTCGAAGGATGACTGGGATCTTGGTGGGAGGGAAAGGGCTGTGGGATCTGCAGAGGTGAGGGGTGGGAAGCTCAGGGCATACTCAGGGCACCTACCTTCAGCTGTAGCTAGGATGAAGGGAGAAACAGGACACAGGGCTTGGAAAGGATCCAGATACGGAAGGGCAGGACCCCAGGCTGGGGACTCCTGTATACTTGTGGAGGCACAGGGTGGTGGCTGTGCTGAAGGTTCTTTCTACAGGTGGCTGGTGGCCCTGGGTTGCTGGGGGTGGGGCAGGCAGCGAGAGCCATGCTCCCTCTCTCCTCTCCCCTTGCTGCCCTGTCAATAGCCTTGTGGGTGGCATTTGCCTCTGATGCCTTTGTGTTCCTGGGGGATGGACAAGTGGAGAACATCTGCCTCCCACCTGGTCCCAGGACCCCAGTGATGGCCTTTTTTCCCCTAGTGCTTAGCAAATGCCACAGACGGCGTGCGGCTAGCAGCCCGCATCGTGGACACACCCTGCAATGAGATGAACACCGACACCTTCCTCGAGGTTTGTGGGTCATCATGCCGGGGGCGGGACCAGGCTGGGGTGGGTGTCATAGACCCCCCCCAGGAGAGCCAGAGGAAACCAGGGGCTGTCCACACCCTGATGTGGCCTCAGGGCTGCCCTCGATGGAGTGCTGCTGTCCGCCCAGCTCTAGGAAGCCTCAGGAAAGGGTGTGTGGGGAGGACAGAGCCTCCTCTTCAAGGCCCCTTGGCAGGACTGCAGCCAGAGCTGCAGGAAATGAGTGTGGAGGGTGAGCCCCCTCTCCTGGGTTTCATCACACGCGAAGCTGGCTCCCAAGCCTGGCTCCCCCACTCCACACAGGCAGCAGTTCATCCCTGGCCCCAGCCTCGGCCTCTCCTGTTTCCAGCCATCTTCATGTGTCGTTGTGTTGCTGTTTTTTCCATGAACATGTCCAGGAGATTAACAAAGTTGGAAAGGAGCTGGGGATCATCCCAACCATCATCCGGGATGAGGAACTGAAGACGAGAGGATTTGGAGGTGGGTGGGGGCTGCATCCCTGCAGGTCTTGGCCTCAGGCAGTGACCAGGAGCACTTGGGTGACGGGGGGTGGGGGAGGGGGTCGGCGGGCCATATGGCACATTGTCCCAAACTTCATCCTGCTTGTGACCTGAAAGGAATCAGCCTGTGTCCAAGCCCAGTGCCAGACCCTGGGAAGCAGCCATCCCTGGGGGAGAAATCCAGATTCTGAGATTCTGATTTGGATTCTGGAAGCTGCTAGATCCAAGTGCTTCCCTGCCTGCAGCCTCTCCAGCGTCCTCGCGTGCTGCACACCCTTACTCCTGGGACTGGCTCAGCAGGGCCTTTCTGTTCCTTGAATACACAAGTTCACATCGTGGCAGGCAGGGCCTGTGTGCGGATGGCTCTCCCTATCTGGAATACTTTCCCCCAAGATATATTTTTGGTGGAGGTCATCTCAACCAGTGCATCTCAGCTCAGATGCCCCCTCCTCAGAGAGGCCTTCCACAAGTCCCCAGACCCACCTTTCCCCATTGCCCAGGAGCCAGAGGGGCAGATAAGTATGACTCAGCTGCCCCATGGTGCTTGTAGACTGGCGAGGGGAAGGTGGCTGTCTCTGTTACGTAGGCTACAAAACAAATTACTCAGAAGATAGCAGCTGAAAGCAACAACACTTATCCCCTCACCATGCTGTGGGTTGGGGATCCTCCCCTGGTGCAGGGTCTCTGCCTGCTGTTGTCAGGTTGTTGGCTGGGGCTGCAGTCATCTGAAGGCTTGCCTGGGGCCTGCGATGTGCTTCCAGGCAGGCTCACAACAGGCTACTGGCAGGTCTTAGGGCCTCACAGGCCATTAGCTGGAGACAGCAGTTCCTTGCAGTATAAGCCGCCCTCCGAACGAGGTCTCTGAGCGAGAGAGAGGGATGAAAAGTGAGCAAACAAGATGGAAACTCCCATCTTTTTCTGTAACCTAATCCCAGAAGTGGTATCTCATCTCTTCTACCTTTTTTTTTTGGTTGGAGGTGGGACATTAGGACCTGCCCACATGAGGGGGAGGGACTACACAAGGACATGAATACCCAGACATGGGGGTCACAGGGGCCATCCTGGTGGTGTCTACCTAGACAGAAGCCATTTACAAGTGGAGGGAGAGGCCACTTGTGTCAGGAAAAGCTCCACAGAGGAGGTGGCGTTTGCTGTGGATCTAACAGGATGAGTTGGAGTTTGTCAGGCGGCCATGATTAGCCCTCACCATTGTTGCTATGATTATTTGACTCAATTATTGCAGGACTTTGAGCCATAGACTGCACACACACGGGCCACAGCTTCCTTGATAAGATGTGTCATGTAAACCAAAGAGGCAGTGGTGTAGAGACCGTGGGAGCGAGTGTGAAAGGGCGGTGCAGTCCCTGAGTGCTCAAAGGATTCAGGAAGTGGGGACGAGCATGGGCTGGGGCAGCCTTGAGGCATTATCCAAAAATAATTTCATTCTGCAATCCTGTTCTTTTCTTTCTGGAAAGGATACAATATTTTTTCCCTCAGTGGGTTTTCTTGCCTAACAATACATTGCATAGAATTTGTTTGCAGTCTCAGGCATTGGCGGTAATTTGCATTCCCCAATCCCACACTGGCCAGGGGCAGGAGAAGGGGCCGAGAGCCCCAGGCTCAGGCAGGCGCCTTTCCAGGAGAAACACCAGCGGCCAGAGTGGGGGTTTCCAGGGACCTCTGGGAGTTCCCCACTCAGCTCAGCCCGAGCCTAACCCACTTCTCCCCACGCTTTCCATAGGAATCTATGGGGTCGGCAAAGCCGCCCTGCATCCCCCAGCCCTGGCTGTCCTCAGCCACACCCCAGACGGAGCCACGCAGACCATCGCCTGGGTGGGCAAAGGCATCGTCTATGACACTGGGGGCCTCAGCATCAAAGGGAAGGTGAGGTGCAGGGCCAGCTCTCCAGAGGGCTCTGGGGGGGGGGAGGGGCCCAGTTTGGGTCCAGCCAGCCCTCCCAGAGGTGTCATGGCGTGGGGGACAGCAAGGTTTCTGGGGGTTCTGGGTTGGGGTGGGAGAGTCTACAGGGCCAGTTCCCATGCTGAGGCGACAACTTCACGTGGCCCCCTGGGTTCCATGCCCACCCTTCAAAAGGGTCTGGAAACAAAAGCCTGGCCAGGGCCCGAGAGCAGCCCCGGAAATGACCGAAGGAATGGCAGGCAGGGCCAGGGAGGCAGGGCTTGCAGCTGCGGAGCTTTGTCCGAGGAAGGGAAGGGCGAGGGGATGCCTGTGTCTCTGAGTCTGCCATGGTCCCCACCGAGAAAACGCTCAGGGTGGCCACACAAGACCCTCCAAAGGCACGTGACCCCCAAGAGTGAGGGGAATCTGGACGCAGCACAGAAGCGAGTCACCCGGGAACATCCCTGTGAGGTGGCCCTAGACGCCCGTCCCGTGGTGTGGCTTTCTGTCCTGCCATCCCAGGAGGACAGGTGCTTGTGGAGCCCCGGTCGTGGCCTAGTCGGCCTGCCGCAGCAAGCCCTTCCCTCCTCCGCACGATCTCCATCCATTCATCCACCACCGTGCGAACTTCCCTCTCCGACCATCTCATCCATTTCTTCCATCACACGTTGTGAACTTCCTCTCCGGCACCATTCCATCATTCATTTCCCACCCACGTGCGGAACTTCCTCCCTCCGCACCATCTCCCATCATTCATCCACACCGTGGACACACCGGTGACTTCCCCTCCGCACCATCTCCTTCCTTCATCCTTCACGTGTGAAGCACACCGTGGAATTCCCTCCCGCACCATTCTCCATTCCATTCATCCCACCCGTGGGGTACTTCCTCTCCGCCACGTCTCCATCCATCATCCCACACACGCGTGCGAACTTCCCCTCTCTCCGCACCATCTCCTTCCATTCATCCCACACACCGTTGAACTTCCCTCCTCAGCACCATCTCCATCCATTCATCCCACACACCGTGCGAAACCTTCCTCCCTCCGCACCATCCATCATTTCCATTCCCAAACCGTGTGGAAACAACCCGTGTCGAACTTCCCTCCTCCGCCCATTCCATTCCATTCTGCCTACACCGTGCGAACACACTCGTGTGACTTCCCTCCTTCGCACCATCTCATCCTTCATCCACAACGTGGTGACTCCCTCCTCGGACCATCTCCACTCATTTCATTCCACACACGTGTGGAACTTCCCTCCTCCGGCCCCCACTCATCCATCATCCCACACGGCGACTTCCCTCCTCGCACCATCTCCATCATTAATCTCCACCACAACGTGTGGACTGTCCCTCCTGCCGCACGCATCTCCATCCATTCATTCCCACCACACGTGTTGAACTTCCCTCCTCGCACATCTCCCATCCATTCTCCACACACGTGTGAACTTTCCCCTCCGGCATCATCTTCCATCCTTCATCCCACCACCGTGGAACACGTGTGAAATTCCTCCTCGCACATTCTCCTCATTCATCCAACCAGTGCGAACAAACCGTGTGAATTTCCCCTCTCGCACCATTTCTCCATCATTCATCCAACCTCGAACTTCCCTCCGCACTCTCCATGCATTCATCCCCACCCCCACGTTGAACTTCCACCTCCGCACCTCTCCATCCATCACCCCACACACCGTGCGACTCCTCCTCCGCCACCATCTATTCCATTCATTCCCACACACGTGTGAAAACTTCCCTCCTCCGCAACTCATCCATTCATCCACCACGTGCGACACCGTGTGGATTCCCTCTCCGATCATTCCCCTTTTCCCATCCATTCATCCCACACACGTGTTGAATTTCCCTCTCCGCACCATCTCATCATCATCCACACCGTGTGCACTTCCCTCCTCCGCACATCTCCATTCCATTTCATCCCACACACCTTTGTGACTTCCTCCTCGCACCATCTCCATCCCATTCATCCACACACGTGCGAACTTCCCTCGCACCATTCCTCCATTCATCCACACCGTGTGAACTTCCTCCTTGCACCATCCCATCCCCATGCTCATCGAACACCGGGAACTTCCCTCGCACGATTCTCCATCCATCATCCCACACACCGTAGCGGAACACCGTGTGGAACTTCCTCCTCTGCACGCATCTCCATCCATTCATCCACACACCGTGCGACTTCCCTCCGCGTCTCCTTCCATCATCCCACCACCGTGGAACACACCGGTGTGACTATCCCTTCCTCCGCACCATCTCCCTCATTCTTCCACCAACCGTGCGAAACAACCCGTGCGAATTCCTCTCCGGCACATCTCCATCACATTATCACACACCGTGTGAACTTCCTCGGCACCATTCTCATCATTATCCCACACGTGTGACACTTCCCTCCTCGAACTCTCATATTCCATCCACACCCGTGCGCACTTCCTCCTCCGCACCTCTCTCCATATCCACCACCGGTGAACTTCCCTCTCGGCACCATCTCCTCCTTATCCCAACACCGTGTGACTTCCTCTCCGCCATCTCCATTCCTCATCCCACACACCGAACTTCCTCCTCCGGCACCATTCCATCATTCATCCCACACGTGTGAACTTCCCTCCTTGGCACACATCTCATCATTATCCCACACACCGTGCGAAATTCCTCGCACGATCTTCCATCCATTCATCCCACACACCGTGCGAACACACCATGTAAGCAGCTGTGCTCGGTCTTGGGCTGGGAAGGACAGGGAGGGAGCAGACTGGGAAGTGTGTGCCTCAGGAGGTCTGGAAGGAGCAGGGAGAGCATCTGGAACAGACACTGCAAACTAGTAGCCCGCAAGGCTCACAGAGGCCTGGCGTTTTGAAAATTTGAATTAGCTACCCATATTTGAAACCAGGAAGGATTCTCATCAAAGCCTGGATTTCCGGCCTTTTGTGAACTCAGGTCTGCCAGTGCTGGCGTTCTGGTCCCACCTGGCAGCATTCCCCTGCAGCCAGCGGGCCTGCCCCTGGTGTTGCCCATTCTCCAGTTTGGTTCGTGGCGGGCCCCACCACTTGCTGCTGCCTTCCTGACACTGAGCCCTGGTGTCAGCTGTTGTTCAGGGTGGCGCTGGTACAGCTCGCTGTGCTCTGCTTTCCAGCATGCCTAGTTTATTTCATACCTGGAATGGATGAGTAGTTCCCATCCCTCCTCGAAACCACAAAACTGTTTAGAACAAGGCAAGAAATTAAACTAATCATAAAAAGGTTTTTTTAAAAAAAAAAAAAATTTTCTATTATTAAGTTCCATACCTATTATCATGCCAGTAAAAAAAAATTAAAAAGAAAATAAATATTGTACTACAAAGAAAACAGAAATGGATTAACACTCAACTAGCATTCATGTATTTTTTCTTTTTTAGAAAAAAACGTGCCTCCCTATGGGTCTCTTGGAGTGATAGATGGTGGAATGAATGTTTCTGGCTTTGGGTCTTAGCATCTACACATTTGACAATGATTTCGTTTAAATTGATCTTCTTTACTAATGTATGTTCAGTAGGCAGAGGAATCAGCTTTGTCAGCTATCTTCATTCACAGTTGGTCCAAGAATACTCTTTGTTAATTTTGATTTTGAAGAGCTCCGATCACGTGAGGCAGCAGATACACAGATACTTAGGAAAAGTCTTTAATACGGTATCATTTGGCAGAGATTCCCAAAAATCCCATTTCCCAGTAAATTCCAGCAATCACAACACCCACCATGTGTTCAGTTCTTCAGGGTGGATTCTTGTGGCTTTCAGATGTCCGTGAACAAAAACATTTTGGACACAGTAACTCCAAGTGTTCACTTGCAATGAGGGAACTGAAGGAACTCAGGTTCCGCGTCTTCGTTTTGACCATCCCGTGCTCTTGTGTTTTATTTTGGGTCCTCTGTTTCGACACCGGGAGATAGGAAATCATGGGCCCTGGAGGCCCCGACTGTGCCCAGAGCCAGGCCACAGGATCTGACTGTCAGAGCGATTCTCAGAAGGAGTGTGGGTAGTAGATTCCGCGAGTGTCAGGGCCAGTTGTGTGTCGGGTCACTGTTAACATCCATGTAATGTTACTTTCAGGGTAAGTAACAAAGATAGGGGAATTTGAAGCTTTTATTTGTAAGATTAAAACGCAACTGTAGCCACAGCAAATTTTTAAACTTCAACCAACAACAGATTTTTGGAGGAGGAATATGTTATCGCTGACATTGTTCAGAGATACCAGCACATGGTGGTAATAAGCAAACTGACTTTTAGTCGGTTTATTATGATTCCTAAATTCGCCACAGATAGTGCACCCCTTACTGCCTGCACCTGGTACTGGCTGCCCCCACCCTCGCACCCTCAATACCTGCGGTCAGTCGCCCTGGAAGCTGCTACATTCTGGCTGGTAGAGTTGTGGGCCCTCTTCTCTGCGGATCAGATGCTTGTTTTTGATGTCGGTTTGTTGTGGACCAGTGTGAGAAGATGAGCTTCCTGGGAATTCATTTGTTTGCTTGTGGCACTAACTCTAGTCACTTAGGGAAAATATTGCACCTGACTTCATCTCATGAGGCTATGGCTGCACCTGTACAGTAAGTCAGCTCCTGGCCTCAAAATGAACACAAAGGAAAAACCTGACCACATAGGCCTTTCCTAGAGGCCACAGCCGCACAGCCTCCGGGGAAGCTGTGGTCTGAGGGTGGCTGGTAGAACTGCCAGAGAGTAGGGCATTTTCCATGGCTCCAGATCACCTTCTGAAAATGAGACTATAGCCCCTGCCTATTCCCAGGGTCCAACTGGTCTGCAGACACCATAATACAAGGAAGAGCTGGGTGTTTTGGCACCAGTGAAACAATACCTGGTTTTTTATTTTAAACCAGCCCATCTTCGCCGCTGCACTTGGAACTGTTCTACGTGGATTTGGGATCAACCAGCAGGCCTTTCCTGAGCTGTTACTATGTGGAGTGGGCACTGAGGCTCCAGCCATTGAAGGAGAGACCCCAATCCTGACCTGAAGGCACTCACAGTCTCATCCCAAGGGCCTGGTGTGAAACGTGAACGCAGCAGGCATTCTCCCCAGTGGCTGCGTCTAGAGCAAATGGTGCAGAAATGGTCACTCCTCAAAAAGCAAGCTGGGTGGAGCCAGCCCAGCTCCCAGTTTTGCAAGAAAAATCACAGCTCCCTTTTCAAAGATTTCAAGGGCAGATCAAGATCAGCCTGGACTAGCAGGCCTCAAATGCATTACTGGAGACCCCTTTACCCTCTTAACAAGTACCAACCCCAAAGAGGCTTTATGTATAAGAATGTTGTCTATTGATATTTACTCTACTGGAAATTAGAAGGGAGAAATTTATAACATGTATAATTCATTAAAAATAGCATATAAATCCATTGCATGTTATCATAAATGATATAATTTTATGAAGATAAGCATTTTCCAAAATGAAAAAACAATTTACTGAGAGAGTAGCATTGTTGTACATTTTCACAAATCCGGTCAGTGACTTAATAGAAGACAGCTAGGGACCCGGCATCTGCTTCCGATTTAGTCTGTGGAAACGTGTTGTTTCAGTTCAACTTTATCAAGAAAATCTGGGCTCTCACATTCTGTAGTTGAAACAGGGAAAAGGATTTTAGTACCTTTTTCAGCTAACTATGAACATTCTTTGCTATTACACCAAAACTCAACAAGTGGTAGCTTCTTAAAGGCTGGTTATAACATGGAATCTGAAGCCTCACGAGTAGACTTTGGTGCTCCGTGGCAGTTAAATCCACTGTTCTGTCTCACTTTGGTTTTTGTAATATGCATGTTCACTTGAAAAATATTGGTTCAAGAGTTCTGCAGAAATTCAAATTTTTGACACATTACGTTATATAGTATCGAAAAATCACTTAATATCACCATCCATCTCATCAGAAAAGTCATTGAGTATGAGGAAGTTGTCACGGTGACAGGAGAAAGTTTTTCAAAATTCTGATTTTTGCTTAAAAGCTCAAATGTATACCATTGGCAATAAATAATGTCAGCTGTTTCTGGAAGTAAGAGGCTGAGTTTGTTCCTTTTCTGGGAAATATCTGCCAGATACCTAAATCCAATTAAGTGCCATTTGTCTGTCAGTTTTTCTTTCAAGTAAAAATGGTGTCGTGGCCGAAGTGGCTCATGGAGCTCAGAACTGCCCCAGCAATCACAGCTGAGCTTCTGCTCTGAGCGACCACTGCCCGTCAGCAAGAGCAGGAGTGCATTATGAGTCACACAGAATATGGAAAATGTATTGTACCCAAGGGTTGAGAGTTTTAAAAATTAATTTTACTGCTTCAGCAAGGAAATTCTAACGTGCAATTGGCATTGGTTCATTTTCCCAGAGGGCGTGGAAACGAATCCAGGGGCTCCCCAACCTCTTTGGGACTGTGGCTAATACTCCAGCACAGGGGGTGTAAGTGTCAGCCCGGTGAAAAAGGCAGAGACCGTCTTAAATCACTGCGAACATAGTTTCTTCTATAAAAACAGAAACAATGCATGGGGGCTGGTGAAACTTTGCACAATCAATGGAGCTGTATTTGCAAGCCCGGTCCTGGCTCTGCCTGCAATTGGGAAGGAGCTGGCAGCTGTGACGGGGGAGACATGGTGTACAGTGAGCAGTCGTTTCCAGGCATTTCTGTGTGACCCATTTTGCACATGGTTTGATTCCAGATCGGAGGCCCTGTTTTTCCATTTAAACAACCCTGTGCTTTCTCGCAGATTAGCTAGGAAGAGATGACTTGTTTTCAGTAGAAAGGTGGTCCCTTCTTCTGGCGGTAGACCTGGCAGTGACATGAGGGAGCGACAGGTGTCCTCGCTGCTGGTGCTGTCGGTGGGGGTGGATGGGTGTCACTGGGGGTGGATGTGACTGATTTTGGCTAACATCAGCCCTCACCATCGTTCAAAGTTGTGATGAAGGGCAGAGAATGCTGAGCCTAAGTCTCGTTAGGTGGTAAAGGCCTCTAAATGCCAGGGAGAGGAAGCTAGGCCCTGTTCTGGGGGGTGACAGGTGGCCAGGGCAGGTTTGCATTGCGGCAGCAGCCCCTCAGGCTTCCTCCCCACCATAAGCACAGAAGGAAGCTACAATGAGTGCAGGAAGCAAGCAAGCCCACCCAGGTCCCGGAGGTGCTGGCCAGGGACCTCCAGCAAGCCCCAGAGGCTCCCTGGACCTCAGCTTCCTTCTCACACTGTGCGGAGGAGTGGAGAGACAGGGTCCCTGCAGACAGACCCCGAGGCGGTGTGGCAGCCCAGGACTGAGGTCAGGGTGCCCGGCCTTAAAGCACGGGGTCTCTGTGGCTATGTCAGAGCCCGGCCACGGTGAATTCTGCAGCTCCAGGCATCTCCTCGGGTTCCCCCTCCATGCAGTTACTGTTTGATGGCCCCAAAGTTCTGTCAAAACAAAAGGGAGCCCCACCGTCTATAGCAAAGACTCCCTGTTGCTTCTGGAGAACACCCCGCTTGGCCAATAGGAGGTTCATGAGTTCTGTGGATGCCCAGGAGGCCTGGTGCGGGGGCTGCCCAGGCCTGGGAGCCAGGGAAGGGGGGGCTAGCGTGGGGCTGGGTGGGGGTGGAGGGCTGCTGCTGCCAGGCCTGGACCTCATGGCTCACCTTTGTCTGGGTCTCTTTGTACCACCTGCAGACTACCATGCCAGGGATGAAGCGAGACTGCGGGGGTGCCGCGGCCGTCCTGGGGGCCTTCAGAGCTGCAATCAAGCAGGTGAGTGGGGCCCTGCCCACCCTCGGCCGGGGTATCCTGGGTGTGCCCCATGGGTGCTCCCCTCTCCCTTGTCTGTCCCGCCATAGGCACCACCATGTTCCTACCTGAGTCTCCCCAGCAGGAGCCTGTCCCCACTCTGCCCTCAGGTTCTTCTTGGGCCCCCAGAGCTTCCTGCCTTCATCAGAGCTGCTCTGGGAGGCCCCGAGGACAAGGTCCAGCCATGTTCTCCGCTCAGGGCCTGCCTTGGCTCCAGAGCCCCATGAGCAGTTGGCTCAGTGAGGAATCCTGGCCTAGACCCGCGTGGCATGTGGCAGGCAGAAGCTCGAGGCAGGGGCATGCATTGTTCTGTGCGCCCCTCCCACAACCCTTCTTTGCAGCAGAGCTGCCTCTGGCGACTGGTCTTGCCAAGTCACCACCCCTGACCCCCAGGCCTGGCCGGGCCCCCTTCCTCTCTTGCCTGGGCAGGCGCCCCAAAGCTCAGCCCTTGCTCAGTGGCAGTAATCACTCGGGGAGAGTGTGGGCATGGGGGTTACCTGAGTGACCTTCCCATGGAGCCCAGATGTCCCTGGGGCCATGAAAAGTGCTTATGAAACAAATGAAGCGGCCAACTCTTGCTTGTAATCCCAGTACTTTGGGAGGCGGAGGCAGGAGGATGACTAGAAGGCCAGAAATTCAAGACTACCCAAAGCAACCTTGCGAGACCCCGTTTCTACAAAAAAAAAAAAATTAAAAACAAGCCAGGCGTGGTGGCGCACACCTGTAGTCTCAGCTACTTGGGAGGCTGAGGTGGGGGAGGATTGATTGAGCCTGGGAGGTTGAGGCTGCAGTGAGCTAAGATCCCACTGCTGCCCTGCAGCCTGGGAGACAGAGCGAGACCCTGTCTAAAGAAACAGGCCAATGAAGCGTGTGCACGGACTCATCAGCCAAGGTTTTACCTCCCTAGCCTAGCGTTCAAAGATGGAAGGGTACGCCTGGAGCGCGGTGGCCCTGGGCTCTGGGGGTGTTAGCGACCCTCCAACCCTGGTACCAAAAAAAGCAAGCCCCTGCCCCACTTACCTACCCCAAACCCTTGGCTGCCCTGGGGGACCAGGCCCAAGCCCCGGCGTGGCACTGGAGAGCCTTCCCACGCTGTCCCTGAAGCACTCACTGTGCAGCCCCATCTTTGGCCACCCTCTTGTGTTAGACCAGCAGTCCTGACTGTGCCGGGGAACACCCAGGGAGTGTGCGAACATCGACAGCTCCAGGGCTCACCTCCAGCTCTGCTGAGTCCTGGATTTTTTCAGTCGCCCCTGGTGATTGGAGACCCCCCAAGACTGGCCGTGAGGGCCGCGAGGGCAGGGCCGTGCCTGCGCTGTCTCTGTGTCACATCATCTAGCCACGGAGACCTCAGCACTGTTTACACTGGGGCTGCAGCTCGCTCGTCCTCTAAGCCAGCACTTCTCCAGTGGGATCTCCATGTTGTTAGTAATGTGGGTTCTCAGCTCTGCCCCAGATCAGAAATTAGGGGCAGGGCCCAGCCTTCAGTGGGTAGCAGCCCTCCCTGGGAGGCTGAAAGCATCCATTTGAGGATCCCTCCTCCTTCTCCTCGTGTCCCACGTGCCTGCCCAGGAGGTGCTGCCTCTACTTGCTCTGGGAAACCTGTCTGCCCTGGCAGGCCGCAGATCCAGAACCCTGCTTTCTGGGAGGACTTGAGGGCTCCCGTCCTTTGTTGGTGGAGCTCATCTCTGTGGTGTCTGTAGCTTGGAGCCCCATGGCCTCATCCTGTGACCTCAGGGTCATGCTGTCATTTATTCATTTGTTCCCAAACACCCACTGCCCCCTGGAATGACTGCAGGAGGTCTCAGCACAGGGACAAGCTGTGGGCACTGTACACAAAAAGGAAAGGCAAGGCCGGGGGAACCGGGGAAGAACCCCGAAAAGAAGAAGCCGAAGGGCCCGAAACCCCCGCCCCAAGGCCCCGAAACAGGCTGGGCTGCGAGAGTGGGAGCGGGGGACTCAGGGCCCTTGTGGAGCTGACAGGTGGCCCCTAGATCATCACCCTGAGGCTGGTGGAGTTCTTTCCCCTGTGCTGCGTGGGGGTGCGGGGCCATCTGTGAGGCTCAAGGACTGAGCAGGGGCCCAGGGAGGCCTCAGGGACTCACAGCTGCCGCCTGCCCAGCACCACTGCTGCAGCATCTGCCACTGGCCGCTCCTTGCACTGCTGGCTGCCCCTGCCCACCGTCCCAAGCGTTTGCCTTTGGTGAGGGCTCTGCGCCCGTGGTGGAAGAGTCGGCTGTTCCAGGAGATGGATCCTATAGAACTGTGCGTCAGCACCCTCGAGGCATGCTCCGTGCTAGGAGGATGTATCCTGGTTAAAGATTCGGCTCTGGGAACAGAGGAAGGGCAGGGACAGGGGTCTGAGAGCGCCACTCCATTTGACATTGCCACCCAGGCATGGGTCGCTTGGGGTCAGGAGGCACCCTTAGAGCCTGTGCAGGGCAGGAACCGCTACCACCTGTTGGCCATACGTTTCTCAGCGAACAAATGACTTCATTTTGGCATCAGAAAACTATAACGTCACACCTAAACTTCCACGAGGCTGAGCTCTTCCTGCCCCTCTGTGTGTGTGTGTGTGTGTGTGTGTGTGTGTATTGAGGGGACGCAGCCGCTGGCCACCTTCCATTGGCACAGGTTGGCGAGGCTTCATGACTGCCCAGCCCATGCAGCCCAAGAGTCCCACAGCCCAGCCCATGCCCAGGCTCATCCACTGTGGTGGGTGGGCTCTGCCAGGGGAGGCTAGGAGACCCCAGCGGTGAACCTTGGCCTTGGGATCTGCCAGGACTGTGCCCAGGATGGCAGGGAGGGCGAGCTCTGGTGCCTGCAACTTGGAGCCATCTGTCAGTCTCTCTTCTGCTGTCTGTGGGTCTGAGAACCCCCAACTCGTCCTCCCTCCTCCCCACACGTATGACCTACACAGCTGGAGCCTCTGCCGCTTCTCCCCCCAGGGCTTCAGAGACAACCTTCACGCCGTGTTCTGCTTGGCTGAGAACTCGGTGGGACCCAACGCGACCAGGCCAGATGACATCCACCTGTTGTACTCAGGGAAGTACGTCTGACCCTCTGGCTCCTTCCTGCCCACTGTTGGAACTCATGACCCCTCCCCGGCCCGCAGTGCCACTTCACTCCAGACACACTGGGAGGGCGCCCAGCAGCAGGCTCCTTGCTTCCCAGAGTGCCGGGGAGCTTTGGTAGCAGGGGCACCTCATATTGAGGGGCCCGTGACGCCTGGATGAGGTGCTAGGCTCCCTTGCAGTGCCTGGCCCAGGAGCTCATGGTCTACCCTGCATTACCAGGACAGGCCTTTCCAAAATGCAGGCCTGAATTATTTGGGTGTGTGAAGCTCTGACCCCCAGATTTCCTGCTCGGGGGTACCCCCTGGGTCTCCCCCTTGAGATTGACTCTGGAAAGTCAAAGCTGAGCTGGCTGCTGAGGAGCAGGTGGCTCCAGAATGCAGAAGAGAAGAGCTGTCCCCAACCCCAGGCGCTGGTGCCTGAGCGGGCGCCTCCCCGCATCTCCTGCTCTTCCTCCTCATCTGCTGGGTGCCAGGCACAGTGTGCTGAAGGCCAGCCCAGCTGGTTCATGCCACCCACTTTACAGATGAAGAAACTGAGGCATGGGGGAGCCAAATGGCTGGTCCCTGGCTCTTGACTCAAGAGCAGCAGGGCAGGGATGTCATGGAAGCCCTTTGCTCCAGGCACTGCATTGCTGTAGGGACTGGGGCCATCCCAGCCTCCCCAGTGGGGGAATGTGTCGGGGTTCGGGGAGCCACAGGGATGGGCAGCTCCAAATGGGGTCTTCCCAGTTCCAAAGGGGCTCACGCCAATGTCCCGGGGAATGCCGTCCCTGAGCGGGGATCTCTGCCGTGCCCCAGGACGGTGGAAATCAACAACACGGACGCCGAGGGCAGGCTGGTGCTGGCAGATGGCGTGTCCTATGCTTGCAAGGACCTGGGGGCTGACATCATCCTGGACATGGCCACCCTGACCGGGGCTCAGGTGAGTGCTGCCTGGGTCCACCCCTCAGCTGCGGCACCGGGGAACCCCACCCCCGCTCTGGACCTTGAGGTGGGGAAGGCAGCGGGTGGGGGCTGCCGTCAGGAAGTTTTCATAACTGGGCACGAGGAGGGAGGAGGAGCTGCCCATTGAGCTTGGTGTGGGCAGCGCCGAGACCCAGGCTGGACGCAGAGCCCGGAAACACCTTCTCTGTGCTTCGTGGCCACAGTCCTTTCTGCCTGTGTTTTTCTTTTCTTCTCAGCCATCTCTCTTCTGGCTCCCTTATTTCTCTGTCTGCCTCTCAATCCCTCTTTTGGGTGTTTCTCTCCTGCCGTCCCGTCCACGTGCTTCCCGGGTTCCTGCCCACCCAGGGCATTGCCACAGGGAAGTACCACGCCGCGGTGCTCACCAACAGCGCTGAGTGGGAGGCTGCCTGCGTGAAGGCGGGCAGGAAGTGTGGGGACCTGGTGCACCCGTTGGTCTACTGCCCCGAACTGCACTTCAGCGAGTTCACCTCAGCCGTGGCTGACATGAAGAACTCGGTGGCGGTAGGTTTGGAACCTGGAGCCTGGAGCCTGCCACTTGGGTGGAGCCGGGCAGGCAGAGCCCTGCCTTCAGGGTGCTGGTGAACCCAGGGAGCTAGGGTCCCCCAGAAGCAGCCACAGTGCAGATGAGGGCCTGAGAGGCAGGTGTCGGGGCACAGGAGCCATCCCAGACGGCATGGGCCACTCACTGGCTTCCCTGCCACACAGCCAGGGGTTTCTCCCCCAGTCTTGGATCTGACTCAGCTGCCCCGTCAGGCCCTTTGCTGGCTTCCCCGTTGGCCTATGGTGGGGGCAGACTCCTTGGCTCATGGTCAAGGCCCTCCCAGCCCAGCTTCAGCTGCCTCCCCACACTGACTCCCTCCCAGCCACCCGGGCTCCTTGCAGACAGCAACAGTGAGAGACGATGGGGGAGGGTGGAGAGGGCCCGGCCGGAGCAACCCACAGGCACTGTGTCCTCCTGGCCTCCCTAGGACCGAGACAACAGCCCCAGCTCCTGTGCTGGCCTCTTCATTGCCTCACACATCGGCTTTGACTGGCCCGGAGTCTGGGTCCACCTGGACATTGCTGCACCGGTGCATGCCGTGAGTGTCCCCACTCTCCACCAGCCCAGGCTGCTCCTGCCCTCTTGTCCAAACAGAGTGCCCCTCTGGCTCTGGAGCTGCTGGCCGAGCTCATCAGAAACTTCTGTGTCCGTGACCCAGCTTCCAGTCTGCTGTCCCGCCCAGGTCTCATCCTCCCTGGGAACAGAGTGGCTGCTGTGTGTGACCCTTCCCCAGCCAGCCTGTCCTCCACAGGGGGCCCTGGGCCCTCTGTCTCACCCATCCCCACCCTGAGGAGCTCCTGGGGTTGAGGCAGAGCACACAGGGCCTTGTCCACCACCTGTGTCTGGCCTGCTGGCCCTGAGTGTGTCCAGCCAGCAGCATGGAAGGCCGAGGGCTCCAGCTGGTGCTCAGGATCTCCTTCCTGAGAAGGGGACTGTGGGGCACGTGGAGGGGACCCAGGAGGTGAGGGGTCCCCAGGAGCCCCTCCCGTGCTGCAGCCCCACGCCCAGAGTCTCTGTCCTGCGCTTTGCTTGCAGGGTGAGCGAGCCACGGGCTTCGGTGTGGCCCTCCTGCTGGCGCTCTTCGGCCGTGCCTCTGAGGACCCCCTGCTGAACCTGGTGTCCCCGCTGGGCTGCGAGGTGGATGTCGAGGAGGGGGACGTGGGGAGGGACTCCAAGAGACGCAGGCTTGTGTGAGCCTCCTGCTTCGGCCCTGACAAACGGGGATCTTTTACCTCACTTTGCACTGATTAATTTTAAGCAATTGAAAGATTACCCTTAAGATGGGTTTCGGTTTTTCTTTGTGGTCGTCACCATGGTGGTGGAAACAGCTGAAGTTTTAGGAGACAGCTTACAGTTTGGTGCAGGCCACGGTGAGGGGACCGGCAAGCGCTGGGGCTTGTTTCTGTTAGTTACTTACAGGACTGAGACAGCTTCTGTAAATTGCTACCCTTGGGGCCTTCTGCACCCCGGGGTGAGGCCTCCTGCCTGCCTGGTGCCCTGTCCCAGCCCCAGGTCCTGTGCAGGGCACGCGTGTGGCTGACAGCCAGGCTCTTACTCCAGCCGGGGCTGCCAGGGCATCCAGCCAGCCCAGCCCTGTGAAAGATGGAACTGACTTGCTGCAGGGGACCCGATTTTATAGGGCAAGAGAAGTCACACTCTGGCCTCTTAGAATTCACTTGAGGTTCAATTAAATATGGTCACACCACCCCCTCACCTGGCCTCCTTCTTCTTCCCTCCACCCTCCATTTTCAAAACGGGTCCTGGAGCACGTCTGGGGACTGAAGTGCGGGGCTGCCTCCTGCTTCTCCCAGACCAGCTCTGGCTTTGAGCCCCAGCTGGTCAACCCAGTGTTGATGACAGGAGCCCGGGGAGGAGCACAGTGAGCCACTGGGCCTAGGCCTGGCCCTCCTGATCATTTTGATTGTCTGGGTGCGCACAGCACAGACTCCAGGCGGAAGCGCTGTGGGCTCTCGAAGTCTCCACAGCCCGGCAGCCTGCACGGAGGCTGTTCTGTCTCTCGAGGGTCCTGGAGCCTGTCCTGTGCGAGGCTGACTGTGCTTCCGCGCCCCTGGCCACACTGTCCCGGTGATAAAGGGCAGGGCCCCGAAGCCAATTCAGATTTCCCGGGAGCCCGCCAGGATTCAGGGAACCCCTGAACCTGGGCTCCAGGAGAAGCAGGTGAAGTGGGTCCATGGCACCCAGGAGCCCGCCTTCCACTGGCTTGGGTGACAGTGCAGGCCAGGACCTCGTCCCTGCCATGCATCCCCTTTGCCCTCAGTCGCAGCAGGGCTGCCTGGGGCCCCCCAGGAAGGGATTGGGTCTGAGGCCCCACAGGGAGGGGGACAGTGCTCCTCTCTCTCCAGCTGGGGCCGAGGGCGAGGACCTGGCTGCAGCTCTGCGGGACACGTGGCCCCAGGCTGCGTCCTGAGTCCCTGGCCACCTCACCCCAAGGGTCCCCAGACTCCAAGTGCCCCCACAGCCCTGAAAATCAAGGTGACTCTTTCTGGGCCTGATCCCAAGCAAATATTTATTAACTGCCTGCTGTGTACACAGCCCTGGCTGGGCCTGAAACGGCAAGAACTGGCTCCAAGGTCCTGGCCCTGTCTGAGGAAACTGCCACCCAACACAATGCCAGCCATTGTGGGCAGCAGCCGGGCAGACGGAGCCGGAGCTTCCAAGCAGGGGCGGCTGCAGCCGGGCTGGGAGCCTTCACGGGTCATTAGCTTGCTTAATGGCGCTGCAGTAGGCCCCGCTCGCCGGCCTCCCCTGAGACACCCAGAGGAGGCAGAGGTCACGAGGTGGTCTGGCTCCTTTTCCAGGGCAGCTGGCACCGTCTGCTCCCCCTACCAGGGGTGCGCCCGTGTGGACACAGGATGCAGGGTCAGGGAGCAGGGGAGGAACTGAGTCTCCCTTGTGCAGGCACAAAGGCAGCCTCAGGACCAGGGACCCAGCTGGGCACCAGCTGCTGGCTGGCCTGGCCTGCCTGCCAGCGTCAGGGGTCCCATGGGGGTGAGCCAGAGGCCTGGCTTTCCCCGGGGCCAAAGGGCTCTAGGAGGCAATAGCTGCTTCCCCAGGGCCCGCCAGAGCCCTGGCAACAGGGTCATGGGGCGGCCGGCGGTGCTGGGGGGCAGGTGGGTGCTCTGGGTCCGCTTGATCATGGTTTCCGGGGAGCAGTGCAGGAAGATGAACTTGGTGCAGAGCTCCCACAGGCAGGCTAGCGCAAAGCTCCGAGGAAGTGCTCCCAGATGAACTTGGCCGAGAGCATCACCAGGGCCACGAGGAGCCCAGTGATGCTGGGGAAAGCAGGCGGGGCTAGGACCCCACCCCCACCCCCTCCCTGGAATCCCCCGGCCCACCTGGGTGATGTTATCCCAAAGACAGGGACAAGAGATGAGAGGATGGAAATGTCTCTTTGGGAAAAAGGCTGCAGGAGCTGGAGGTGATGAACAGAGCAGGCGAGAGGAAAGGGAGGCCCCCTCCTCCTGCCATGTTAGAGAAGGGAGCCCTGGATCTGGCTGCCACCGGTGGCTTGTGCACACCTGGGGCTGAGGGCACGCAGGGCTGCACATACACATTCAAGGCCACTGTGAGAACAGGTGAGCAGGGCCAGAGGGCTGTGGAAAGCCCAGCTGAAAGCTGCACTTCCCGGCTGAAGAGCGTTTTACCGGCATCTGCCAGGAAGCCTGGGCTCTGGGGGCTGTGTCATTGTAGATGACCACTTCCAGGTCGTGGCCACAGCCCCGGTTCTGGTCACAGCCAGGCCACCAATCCTCCTGCGCCACCCACCCCTTATCCACCAGGCTGTCTTCAGGGCATCGGCTGGCCTCAGTTGTGGCAGCCAGACCCTGATGTTGCGCAAGAAGGCCGGCCAGTCCATATCGTGCAGCCTGCGAGGGTGCACTGGGTGAGAGGGGTGCAGTCCCCAACCTGGGAGGGGACCCTGATGCACGTCCCCAGAACTGAGGGAAAAGTCTCTCCCCAGAGGTCAGGTCTTTGTCAGCAAAGGTGGGAAACCAGGGGAGTGGCGGCTCCAGGCCCCAGAGACATTTGAAATGACCTCAGAAGACCCAGGGCCACTCAGGGCGACCACATCGGGGAGCTGCCTCTGACAGGCTGTGACGGATGTTTAAGGAAGGGATCGATGGTCACCTGACTCTCAGGAGTGCAGGAGAGGCCACTGAGGCCCGTTCAGAAGGGACTGGGTGTTGGTCCCTGTGGACTCGGCCTCTGGCTGGTGGTGAGGAAGAGGATTTCTCACCACCCATCCTCTGGCCCCTGCTGCCTGAGGGAGCAGACTCCTGTGAGGCGGTTTCCGGGAAGTTCGTCTCCAGCAGGAACTCCAGGCCAAGTGCACGTCTCTGATCACGTGTCACCGTGGCGGTGCGTGCGTGCATGCGTGTGCACTGGTCTATGGCCTGTGGTGTGTGAGTCCCACTAGGACCCATGTGAGGTAGAGGGTCTTCCGCCTCGCCTCCCATTCAAGCCCTCCCTGTACCACACAGACACCCATCTGTGCCCTCCCCTTCTGTGCCAGCAAACATAGAAGAGAGAGACACTTAAAAGAGGCAACTCGCATGGAATGAAGCTGTTTCTGTTGGGGAATGCTTGGATGTTCAATCATCTTAGAAAATCCTACGCCACCTCCCGATGCAGATTAATTACACTAAGTGCAACTCCGATTGGGCTGGTGACCCCCCAGGAAACCTCTGAAGCTGTCCCAGGCTGTTCCCAACATAGGGCCTCCACTCTGGCACACCAGGACCCGAGGCCGCGACAGGCTCCTCATTCCTGCCTCGCTCAAGGCTCAGGTCCCCCACCTGAAATACCCCCTCCCACCAGCATCTCCTGCCTCAGTCCTGCTGCCAGGTCCCCAGAAGCTCTTGTTCATGAGCTTGCCTGCCATCCACAGCCCCCACCACAACCCAAGTGGCTGTTGAATTCGCTGCCCTGATTCTCTGCCCAGAGCCTCGGTTCAGACTGTGTTCCCTGGCGAATTAGTGTTCAGCATTTTTGTTTATTTGTTTGTTCTTTAACAAAAGGTTGTTTTGGTTTGAGATTCAGCAAAAACACACACTGCATTCAGCTTCCTCTCCATTCAGGATTCAGTAAATTGGTTGTTTTCCCGTCTGCTTCAAGTCCTTGCCTCAAATGAGCCTTCAACAAGATAATGCATTTAAAAGCCCTTGGAAAAGTACCAGGCCCTGCACACATGTACAGCCCAGGCCCCGCGCACATGGACGGCATTGTCATCGTGCACTCTCGGAGGCAAACCCGGCAGTGCACAAAGTTCCCACCCCACCCACACGAGGCTCAGCTCCTGGAGAACATGGCCCCAGCGGGGGCCCTTCCCCACGGCCTCACAGATAGGGCTCAGGAGGGAAGGGGCTGCCATCGTGCAACCCTGCTGCTAGGCTGGTCCCCAAAGCCCAGACCTGTGCCCCTCCCCATGGCCCGGGCTTGCTTTCTTCCCTTGCACAGGGCTGAGGGGACAGGGATGCAGCAGAGGAGATGCTAACACACCCTCAGGGAGGTGACAGTCCTTCCTGACATCCAGCCAATAGGCCATTTTTGCTTTCAGTGCCCGCTGGAATCCTGAGGGCTTTGGGGATCAGTCCAGGGAGCATTCTGCAGTCAGGAAAACAACATTGAAAACCAAAACCCACAATTAAAAAGCTTAGAAGCCTGGTTTACATTCACTGATAGCGCAGTTAGAACCCACGGCAGCCTCCATCTGAACGATCCGTTCCCATTGGCTGCGTAAGAAACTCAGTGATGTCATGGACCCCTTCACCTCCCTTAAATAAATTTAGCAGTAATGAGGGCAGTTACCCCAACTTCACAACCATGAGTACTTTTGAGCCTGAGACCCCCTTTCTCCTAACGAGTTGGATAAGTTTCTGTGGCGTCCATGACCCAGCTTGTTCCAGTGCGTGAAAGCCCAGAGCCAACTTCCTTGTCCAATAATATTTGTTAAGCGCTACTGGCATGCGGTCCCAGAAAAATGAATCCCTCTTGCAGGTGTGTCTTCCCAGCCTGCAAGTGGAACGGCTTCCGGAAGAAGGAGCCGGCATGGTCCTGCAGGAGGCTGGAGGAGGGCTGTGCCCCTGGTACCCACAGGGGCAGGGGTGACTGAGTGACTGAGGACTACCCCCCATCGGGATGTTATTAGCCATTACCAGAAGAGCTAATGCATCTAAGCAATTTTGCCACCTGCAAGGCAGCCCCTGGGAGGTGCTGTTATCTTCTCCCCCATTCCAGCAGGTGCAGAAGCCCCAGGTCGCACAGGTCGTTTGTGAAAGAGAAGGGGGCATCCAAATCCAGACGGCCCAGCAGATTCGCGTGTGCTGGCTGATGAAGGTGGGAGGGAGGGAGGGAGGGAAGTGAATAAATAGATGGCCGGACAGAGACATACAGCCAGGCCAAGAGGACTTGTTGCTGTTGAATACCACAGACTCTGGGCCTCGGTTTCCTCATCTGTAAAATGGATGGGCTTTGCAAAACAAACATCTTCATGACTTTGGATTTGTCAGTGATTTCTTGGCTATGACACCAAAGGCACAGGCAACAAAAGAAAAAATAGACAAACTGGACTTCATGCAAAGTAAGAAATTTTTCATATCAAAAGACAGTATTCATAGAGTAAAAAGGCAACCCACACAATGGGAAAAAATTTGCAAATCATATACCTGATAAGAAATTGATATTCAGAATAT